ATTCCTGCGGTTGTTCCAATATTATAACCAGGTCGTTCGCAAATGCGCGGACTCTGTATTCTTGCTGTCTAATTTTGATCCCTTTTAGACCGCCCAGGCCCCGTATCTTATTCAACAATACTTCCAAGGTTATAATAAACAATAATGGGGACAGAGGGCAGCCCTGTCTTGTACCTTTTTCAATTTGAAAGGAGTCTGTTAGACTTCCATTGACTATAATCTGGGCTGTTTGCTGCTGATATATTGCGCCAATTGACCGTAAAAATGCCCCACAACAACCCTGTGAGGTGGAATGGGCTGAGAGAGTGTGACTAGCCTAAAATCATTCAACTGGCTTTGATGGTTAAGGTGGGACTTGACTATAGTCTCCTGCTTTCTGGTCTGGGCCTTAACCAATAGACCAAACTGGCTCTCATATGTTCTGTGAAGTCCAATTTTATGAGAACTATTGTTGTAGCAATTCTGTGGAGCTCGAAGTATACAGAGCCTGATACATTCCCCTATTGTTAGGAAAAGCTTTAGATAGTAGACTTGTAGAAAATAAAATTATTTCTGGTTATGTGTAAATAATGCTTTTGGTGAACTCCACTTTAATGTATATTTTTACACCGAAAAGATTAATGTTATATAGAACTTGGTATACAATAAGCAGAATTATCCATTGTTTGGTTTTTTTATGAAGGTTTAATTCATCTATTTTAGCAGTTTGCATATGATTGTGAAAGAGAAAATGTGTAAAACACCTAGCAAAAAGAAAGGATATTGGCATGCATCCAGCATCAATCTTAGGAATTTTGTAGTTATTAGGAAAGACCTTTATAAAACTCCTATACATACATACATACAAACATACATACATACATACATACATACATACATGCATACATACATACATACATCTATTTATTCCTATACACTAATGTAACTGACACACTAAGGTTAATGTAAGCTTAAAATGCTATTTTTTGTAAATATAGATCACTTGCTCGCATTTGTGTTGAAAACACCAAGGTGAACGTGAACTAGTGATCTAAATTTAGAGAAAACAATATTTTAAGTTTATATTAAGATTAGTGTGTTGGTTGCATTAGATATACATATGTGTATATGACTTTTATAAAGGTCTTCCCTAATAACTAAAAATCCCTAAAGTTGGTACTTATCAAATATTGGTATTCATCAAAAGTGTTATTGCACAAGTTATAAAACATGTATATCTATACCTCTCTCTCTCTCTCTCTCTCTCTCTCTCTCTCTCTCTCTCCCTCCCTCCCTCCCTCTCTCTCTCTCTGTTTGTGTGTATACATACAAACACACAGACACCTATTTATACGTTTAATGCAACTGATATACTAATGTTAATATAAATTTAAAATACTGTTTTCTGTAAATCTAGATCACTAAAGAGAGAGCATCCAAACCTGAATGAAGACGTTGTTTTAATAAGAGCATTACGAGATTCGAATCTCCCAAAATTTCTTGCAGATGATGCTCTTTTGTTCAGGTACTTTTAAAATTAATTATTACTTTTTATTTCATTATAAGTTACACAATTAAATAAAAAATGAAAACAGGTGGTTTCCTTAAACTCTTAGGCACTTGAAACTGGATCCAAAATCTGACTGTGAATCAATAAATATGCTAAAGAACTGATGAGGTTTAATTCCATTCTTCAGTCCTAGTTAACAATCTTAAGGTCTAGTCTGTATGATTGCAATTAGTTAGTCTACTGTTGTTTCAAAGACAATCCCATAAAGAACCTACTGTAATAATCCAAGCAAGAGGTTATCAGAAGCTGGATAGCCATAATAAGAATGCCTTTGTTTATGTTGATTCCAAACACATATATCTATTAAGCAGATGAAGATTTGCTTAGCTGCAAAATCCTGTTAGACTCTGCACTATAAAGTCATGCAGGGTCATCTCGTGGTGAGATGGACAGCAAGCAAATTTCATAAATAAATACTTCTGGGAACTATGTTGGATGAGTGAGTACCTGCAAGCTGAAAATCTAGATTTTGTTCTGAATATTTCTCATTTCTGGCTATCCTCTCTGATATTGTATGCCTGACTGCTTCAATTTAGTACATGGAAGTGGTAAGGACAAAGCAATTTTAGACTTAAAATTTTTGAATCTGGACTTTTTATTTTTCCTACTGACTGTTTACAACTATCATTATGATCATTTCTGTATTCTGGCCATAGTTGTGGAATAGACAACCCCCAATCCCAATATGGATTTTACCCAACCTTGTCTGTCAGCATTTCAATTGAAAGATGGGATAAAAGAAAAGGAGAATTAGGGGAATGAACAACTGAATTCAAATCCTCTCCTTATTTGCTATGTGAAATGTTCTCGTTGATAACTTAAATTTTGCACTAATGTAAATAAACGAGCAAATCTTTTGTGCTTCCTTTCTTTTAGTGGAATTATATCTGACCTTTTCCCTGGAGTCATAATCCCAGAACATAATTACGGAGTGCTGCAGTCAACAATAGTAGATACCATCCTTTCCAAAGGATTGCAGACCGAAGATTGTATGATCTGTAAAGTGATTCAGCTGTATGAAACTATGCTGGTAAGGCATGGGGTCATGCTTGTTGGACCAACAGGAGGTGGAAAAACGACAGTTTACCAAATTTTAGCAGATACACTTGGAACTTTACATAAAGCAGGTGAGGACTATCATTTTTTCCAGCCAGTTAAAACATACGTTCTGAATCCTAAATCAATAACTATGGGTGAGCTATATGGTGAAGTTAACAATTTAACCCTGGAATGGAAAGATGGCTTAATGGCACTTAGTGTGCGAGCTGCTGTGGTCGATACCTCTGAAGATCATAAATGGATCATCAGTGATGGACCTGTGGATGCCTTATGGATCGAAAATCTGAACACGGTTCTAGATGACAACAAGATGCTTTGTTTGGCTAACAGTGAAAGAATCAAACTCACGCCTTCCATCCATATGATGTTTGAGGTAATTACATTCTTCATTTTAATGATTTTTCTAATGCTCTGTTCAGAGTATCATTGGATTTCACTGGGCTTCTTCCAGTGTTTTTCTCAAGGACAGCTTCACTGTTCAAATCTTCAAAACTAATATGTGTTGGATAAATGTAGAGGCTTCTTGTCTTATTCAAAATGAAAAAAAAAGAGCTCTAACTTTATCTCTTACATTTTAGCATTGGGGGAATCCATTGCTGTTTTCAATTTTTTTCTTTCTCGTATTTCTTTTATATGAGGCAGTAAATGTTGTCTAGCCTAAAATCTTGCTTATATTGTTATGCAATTGAACAACAATTTTACACCTGGGCTAGGTTTGAAGTTTTTTAAAAAAATTAGGTATGATTCATAATATTTTATGACTGTCTCATGTGTTGTCTCCATTACTGGGAGAAGCTACCCAGTGTATGCTATTGACTCAAGCAGATAGGCAGAAGGGAATATCAATAACTTGATGGGAAATAATTTCTTTCCATTCTAAACATTGGTAGGTTTTTATTTTGGTTTGTTGTTTTTTTACAAAAATTACAAGGCTTGAATAAATATTCCCTTAATATTATTATTGTATTTTAAAAATACTGTACCCTGAATCCATTACTGGTTTTGTTTTGTTTTGTTACTTTTGTGTGATTAGAGTTCCAATAAAGGAGAATATTTGTAGCCCAGGTTTGAAATGAGTCCTTGGTGCTCTCTGAGCTTGTTTGTTTTCTTGCAAATGTTTCACCACCCAAACTAGGTAACATCATCAATGCTAGTGTGTTGATGATGTTACCTAGTTTGGGTAATGAAACATTTGCAAGAAAACCAGCAAGTTCAGAGAGCACCAAGGACCCCTGATTAGAGTTCTTATAAAAGATTTGGAAATTCTTCTTCAGGGGCCTAGCTTTCCTCTTTGCTATGAAATCCAACAATTCCTGTATTTGTCTGAGATTACAATCTCAATTAACAAAGAAATAGAGATGTTATTTCTGAACCAAAGATGCAACTTTATCTACTTTCCTTTCTTTGCTTAATAATATGCTGAACTAGAAACAGATGCAGTGTCTGCTATATGAATTTTAGGTAGAAGACTTAAGAGTTGCTTCACCTGCCACAGTAAGCCGATGTGGAATGGTATACATTGACCCAGAGGAATTGAAATGGATGCCTTATGTGAAAACATGGCTGGCAGGCCTTGAAGACAAAGTATGTTTTATCTAGTACATAATAATAACTAAGTATTTTGCACATTTTTGTTAAGATTGAATATTCTCTGAGGCCACCTTTAACAGAATACACTGTTCCCAAAGGCACTTGGCCTTTTTTCGTCTGGCATCCATGCAGATATTGAATGTTTTTCTTTTATACACATGTCTTTGCTGCTACGTTACATTGGGCAATCATCATGTTATATTTGATAGCCATGGGATTTATTTTTAACTTATCTATATTGTTGTAAGTGATCCAGAATTTGGGATGGGCAGTATAGGCAAAGGAAGGAGGGAGGGAGGAAGGAGATTCTCAGTTCTCATAATCTGCTTTTTCATTGTTGAAATGGCTTTGTAAAATTGCTATAAACTTTGGTATCTTCTTTCTGGGCATACCAGTACCTCCCTTTTCTTTCTCATTTACCCTATTTCAACTCTAGACCTATTAGAATAGGAGACTTTAGAGTGCAATACTATATACACTAATGTATCAGATCTCCTTTCTTCTTATGAAATGTACATTTTTTCTGAGTTGATGAGGAAACAATAATTGTACAACAATGTTAATTTTTGTTTAGCTCAATGAAGAAACAAGAACATATTTGTTTGAACTCTTTTCTCGTTATGTTGAAGATGGCCTAAAATATATTCACAAAAAGTGTTCCCAAGCCATAACACAAGTGAGCATCAGTAAAGTTGTTACTCTTTGCTGTTTACTGGAATCATTACTTCTTGGAAAGGCAGGACCCAACATGAACTTGGTATGTCTGTTTGTTTTATCCTTTGTATCATTCCTCTTTCTTTTTCCTACATGGTGGGATCTGCTAGGTCTAAAAGAAATAGAGGAATTTTTTAATGTATTCCAGTCTTATTCTATTCTACTGCTTATATCCATTAATTTAGCAACTGCTCAAAATTATGAGAGTGCTGAAAAAAATGGACTTTTGACCAATCTTCATTTGTTAGTTCTGTCCATTGCAGCATCCCATGATCACGTGATCACAATCTGGGCACTTGGATGCTCAGATTGCAAGTACAGTGTAGCAGTGGATCACAGCTGCTGACAAGAAAAGTTGCAAGTTCCTCCTATAAATCGCTCCTGCTTCCTTTTTCTCCTGTGAAAGAAGCAGCAGACGATCTCGTTCTCTGTTGACTCTCCATCTGCCTGCACTCTATAGCAGCGGCCCCCAGGGGCACCAGGGACCAATTCTATGGAGAGAGGTTTTCCCACAGACCGGAGGGAGTGTGGTTTCATGTGCTGCCTGCATTTCACGGATGGGGGATTTGCTTGTTTGCGTGGCCTGCTTTCTGGCATGCCACAGACTGGTGCCGGTCCACAGATCGGGGGTTGGGGACCCCTGCTCTATATAGCATGTGCCCACCTGTAGTCTGCAGCACATACCCATCTGTACCACTTCTACCAATAACCTCTGTCGACCTTCCCAATGTCTCCAACGGCTCTCCCAAGGCCTCCGCTGACCCTTGTGGCCTCCAATAACCCACACAAAGCCTCTGTTCTCCTGCTTGAGTTCCATGGTGTTTGTCCATGAAATTTCACCTTCCAACTAGCACTCCTCCCTTCCACCTAGCACTCCTGCATTCCTTGCTTGAGCAAGGAGTCCAGTGGTTTTGATGGCAACCAGGAGTTTAGGGATTACTGTCGGTAAATAATGTGCACATATTATGTTGCACTTTACAGCATAATGTAGGGGGAAAACATACATTAGAAGTATCAAGCACTATTTACCAAACCTGCTTGAATATAGTTGTAGTACATTTCTTAAGATTAAGTATGGAACAAACTTCACAAGCCTCTCTCTTCATCTAGAATACCACTGCTTAAAAGACATTTCCATTCAGACCCGGTTCAATGATTTTTAAGAGCAACAGTACATGGAAAATAGCTTCACTTGTTGATTTCAAAGAAATACAGAGTATCACAGCCATCTGTTTAATATTAGCAATAGCAATATCAGTTAGACTTATATACCGCTTCATAGGGCTTTCAGCCCTCTCTAAGCGGTTTACAGAGTCAGCATATTGCCCCCAACANTAAAATGAGGACCCAGATTGTTGAGGGCAATATGCTGAATCTGTAAACCACTTAGAGAGGGCTGTAAAGCACTGTGAAGCGATATATAAGTCTAAGTGCTATTGCTATAGTGCTATTGCTATATTGCTATATGATGATATAGTAAAAGGAGAAAATAAGGTTTTTGACTTGTACTTATCTTACCTATATTCATACGCTCAGCTTGTTCATTAATGCTGAACAGTTTTTCAGCATAAACTTCTTTGTAGCCATTGATGAAAGAAAGATAAGATTTGGGAGTGACATGAGCTCTTCGCCGATATCTGTAATTTACAATAGTGATATCTCTTCAGGTTCAAATGACATTTAACTATATAATGATCTCAAGATACAACCTAGGGTATTACATTATTATATTATATACATGAATCACAGTTCTAAACTGTAATTTATGAAGTAAAGTTTGTAAAATAATCATGTTTCCCCTCAAACCAAAATAATGGTGCTATATATAATTTTCTGTTACATCTGTTTATCAATTGTCACAGTGTGTCAGGGTTGCTTTTGAATTGTAAGTATATTTTGCTTTGCAAGGGTGGCAATTGACATAGAAAAATAAGGCAATGGAGGTTTCTATGATTTTTACTCTATATTAGTGATGTTATTTACATCAGTCACAATATGTGGTGAATTTTCTTTCATTCATGAATTCTTCAGACACTGAATAGTCATCTATCAGTGATGCCAGGAGGTTGCACTAGGTGACCTTCAAAATTCTTTCAAATTTATAACTCATGTTGAGATTAAATTGCAAAATGGTTTTTAGGTACATAAATACATCTATTTCTAAAATAATTATTACAGAATTAATACATGGTTAAATATACTACCTTTGAAAATAATTGTCACAGCTTTCTGAAACCAAGTCATGAAAGATGCCCATAGTTTCTACCACATGTGCTTTAACTTCAGCAGAACAGACAATATTGAAACCTGACAGAAAATACTGAGACACAGCAACTAGGGCTTCCTTGGGCCACTGAGTAAACCAATCCATAGTACATCCAGATATTAGACCAGGAAATTTCAAAGATCGTGCACGAAATTTCTCACCAACCTAGCAAAAATAAGAAATAGACAAAAAGTGACATATCAATGAAATATATTTATGGGAAATATGGCAGATAATATTGATGATCATGATTTATTAAACTTATCTGCTGTCTGACTTATATACAGTTTCCAGTGCAATTGTTTCATATAAAAAAAGCAATTAGTGATTGTACGAAGTTACAATGGCACTGAAAAATGTGATTTATGACATTTCACATTTATGACCCTTGGTCACTTAAACAAATCTGGGTGCTTGGCAACTGGCATGTATTCATGACTTCACAACTGGCTTCCAACAAGCAAAGTGCAATGAGG